CTACAGTGAAAAAGGAGCTTCATGATATGATGTATAGAACAATCACGAAGGGAGACATGACTATAGATGAATTATATAGAAAAATAGTACAAATAGGTAGATAAGCTAACTATAAGCCTAAAGAATTACGTAGAAAGTTCTTAGATGTCCTTCCACTGCCATGGCTTGAAAAAGCTGAGGATATTGACGAACATTTACCATTAGATGAATTAGCTAAAAAGCTTTATAAGATAGAATTACGCTAAATAGCTAGATATAAAAAAGATAAAATATTAAATCTGCTAGTATTTAATTGAGCATCTTGGCAAATATATGAACTCTCGCCTATTTTAACTCTTCAACAGCAAGGAATTTCTTTAGAAGATATTCAAAAAGTAATTCAAATGCATTAGCTTAACAAAAAACTGAATATCAAACTTTATTAGAAAATCAGAAAGCTGAATTTCAAGCACAGATGGCTTAGCAAAGTAAGAAAACCCCTTCACTGATTCCTCCTAAAAACATAGAGCAATTACTTAATTTATATGAAAGTAATAAATCATTTTGATGGACATCCTATACCATATAAATCAGAAAAATTACGTTCAGTAAGAATAGATAGATTGGAAAGTATAGTAGATAAAGTTGTGAATACTGTAGGTAATGTTGCAGATTCTATAGATCAATTAAGTAATCAATTAGAAAGAATGTCACTTAATGATCAATCTCGAAAGCCTTTTTATTATAGTAATTGTGAACAGGAAAGGCATAAGAAAAATAACTGTTCTAGATTAAATCCTGTAGCTAAATCAAATTTTACCCAGCGTTATTATCCTCAACTTTTACCTACATAGTCCTAATACACGTCTTCAGATTCTAATAATAAGGAAAATGATGGAGATGGTTATGAAGAAAAAATGAAAAAGTGGTATGATCTACCGATAAAAAAAAAGGTAAATGATAAGTTAGCCAATGATACTAATGCAATCTCACTTCTAGAGTTCAGCCAGCTGAAAACATATGATGAATTATTTCTAAAACTTTCATTGGAAATACGAAAAATGTATCAGTCTCATATAGTTCAGGAGAAAGAATCAAAATCAGATAAGTGGTTTTCATCATTATAATATCTGAATGCTAAAATAGATAATTTAACGATCTCTAATTCTTTTTTAGATAGTGCGAGTGAGTTTAGGAAAGCGAATGATGCAATAATTAATGCCTTTAGTGGAAAAGTTGATAAGCCATCTGACTTTGTAATAAAAGGTAACTCCAAATATATTACTGAATCATTGGGATGGTTTACAGATATACTAATTAATATAAAGGATAAGGATGGTAAAACTATCACAGCTATTAGAAATTTTACTCGTATTGATAATGAAGAATCTGAACTAATATTATGTTTAGGTATGACATGGATTAGGAAAGTTCAAGGTGTTCTTGATCCAAATAAAAATCAATTTTGAATGAAGTTACATGGGAAGACTTAAATTATCCTAACTTTTAGCAAAGCTTCAAAAGTTAAAGATCCACTCAAAGAAAAGCAAGACTAAATATCTACCAACTCCTCTAGCCTAACTAGTGAGGAGGACTTAAAAAAAAATGCATAAAACTTGAAGAGTAACTATTAAAAACTGAAAGATAGCTTGACATGGTATTAAATGCAGATAAAGTTCTAGCAGAAAGATACTCTTAGCTTATAGAGATAAGGATGAATGCGTAATAATTTTCCTGTAATATCTAATAATTTTCCAAGATCTGATTCCTTTCTAGATGTATCATTTTTTTCTGAAGAAGATTTGCTTTTTGATTTCATACTAATATTTTTTCTGACTAATCCTATCTTTTTATCCATTAGTTACCGTATTCAGATTAATAGAATTTTTATTAGCGTCTTCTGCATGAATAGTTCTATTTTCTAGTATATTAATAGAAGAGAAAGAAGTATCAGCATTGCACTGCAGTTCTAAGGAGACCTGCTCTACATCTTCTGACTGTGAAGATTCTTGGTTATCTTTTAAAGTCAAGCTAGAGATGTTAACAGAATTTATAATTTTATACTATTCTTCTGTTGGTTCGGAAGGCCTCTTATTATTAATAATTTTTTGATATGTTGTTAAGCATTTCTGATTTCTTCAATAGATTCAGGTGATAAGCGGGTAGCATCTAATCTAAGAAATTTACAGATACAGGCTATTTGTTTTTTGCTCATAATTTATTAATAATAAGATCAATATGATACTAATAAAAAACTTGTAGAAAATTTATTCACAATATGTTTGATCTTGATCTGATATCAGTAATATATTGATTTCATATATATAAGAATTCCAATTTCTTAACCATTTACTCTTGATCCAAATAGAAATCAGTTTAAGATGTATACGTTTCAAATATCATATTTGTTTTAAACTAGTTGAATACAGTTTGTTATTGGTTTAATATTGATTTCTAACTCTTGCTTCTTTTCAGGAAAAAAATAGTTATCTTGGCTAATCATTATATCTAGATGTGTCAAAAAATATTTTAGAGGAATTTTTTTTACTTTCAAATAAATTCATATGGCAAATATGCATATGCTAAATGAGATAAATAATGGAACATCTTTTGTATCTGGCAATAAACTTGGGGATTTACCATCTAATCAGTATCCACCCAGTCGAACTGAACTTGAAAATCAACTTGCATATGCTAATCAAGATTGAGAAATTGCTATAAGCTGTGGTAATCAGCTTGGTAGTAAATGTGATCTATTAATAAAAAATAATGAAAGGCTTTCAGAACGTGTATGTCAGCTTGAAGATGAGGTGAGAGAACTCAAAAATCAGATCATCCATAAAGATATTTCTTTTATAAAAGCTGAGAACGATATATCTACAAAATTGGAAGAGATACAAACTCTCCAATCAGAAATAAAAGAGTTGAAAATAAAGTATTTTTTAGCTTAGAAAGACTTATTAGAAATGGATTCTTTTAGATGAGAGTTGACGCAGTCAAGGCAAAATGTTAAGCTAAAGAATGTTAACTTAGATCCGAAGAAAAATGAATTAAGTAAAAAAAAGGATGAATTAATGCAGTTGAGAGATGAATTAATCTCAACACAAATAAAATTGATAAATAATAAAGAAGAATCAATGCAGATGAGAGATAATTTGTTCTCAGTACAAAAAACATTATCAGAAAAAGAAATCCTCCTTCAAGAGACTAATACTCGTTTAGCCAAGTAGATCCCAAAAATATCTAGTGAATCTGAAGTGCTTGAAGGTGTTAAAGGATTGGAGAACAGTAACAAAATCACTAATCTCGAAACAACCTTAGTATTACCTTATTCCTTATTTTTTTAGCATGCAATCATCTTCATAATAATATTACTAATCATATACATCCTATGGTACGTATTCTCTCATCTATATTTGAATAAAGAAAAAAATATTCTGAACTATAAAATACCCTTAAATAGAAATTAAGGTTATAGATTCTTGATCTGATACAGAGAAGAACAGTAAGAAAGGTGGCTCTAGATATATTGCATGTGATGATTTGATAGTTTGCAGTTACCACTCTGATGAGTCGAAGTAGGCATTTATAAGATATATGTATGGTATAATTTCAAAAGATCCAAAAGTATCTTACTATGAAAATATCACTTTCAACTATATATCACCAGAAAAAATATCTAGTGTTAGAACATTTTCACTAGAATAAAGTACAGTGATTGTTTTTGAGGATGTATGTCTAACTTCAAAATATATACAAAATCAAATTGGCTAATTTTTTAGGAATGAGTGACATCAGAATATTTCATGTGTATATGTAATGCAAAAATATCACAAAGCCCCTATATTCATTCGTGAGAACAGCTCACATTTAGTACTTTTTAACTCTGGTAGCTCGTATGAAGATATTTTCAAGATTATTAGACGCTATACTGATGATGTAAAAAATGTATCTATAATCATTAATAGCTACCTTAGAAGAGGTGAATTTATTGTATTTGATCTCACTAGGTCAGAAGATGATCCCCTTGCAATCTACCTAAGATTTGATACTTCATTAAACCTACAGAAGGAGATAAAAGCTAGACAAAAGCGTAAGAAAAAAAGTACTCAAGCTAATTCATGCAAAGTGCCTCTCAGTTAATTTTTCTTCAAAAATGATGATATTATTTTTATTATAATTGGTATTCACATTATACAAGTATTAGATGATTTTTAGCAATATAAAATAACTACAGTGAAAAATACTAATAGTTAGATATAATTATTCCTATCATTACGAGTGTAGTAGTGGTACTTGCAGTATTTAAAATTGATTTGCGAAACTTGCAGACTACATGTGACTTTTTTTTTCGCTAGTAAAATTAAATATATACATGCGGATTCTGCAGACAGATTTTAGAAATTTCCGCAAGTTTTTGCATGTTAAATTAGATATGCGCAAGTTCCGCAAGTTAGATTTTTAATGTACATGCAGGTTTATTTTGTACAACCAAATATACTAATTAATTATTTTTATTTAGTTTTTTATTATGTTTTTTTTCTTTGTTCTTTTTTTTTTCTTTGTTTTCAAAACTTTAATGGACAAGTACCTAACTTTAGCAAGTGGTTCATCTTCTGTATCACCTTCTGTATAGAAATGGAAAGAAACTTTACAACAGAATAAAAAAAGTTCTACCAAAAAAGTATGTAAAAAAAACAACTGAAAAAAATAAGCCACATATATAACTAGATTGGAATCCAAATTGACCACAAGCATATCCATAGATTACTCGACGTATTAATTCTAATAATGAACTGAAAATGTATTGTATTTGATGTACAAATCATAATAAAAATTCTAAAGGTGTATTTGTTGTTAGAACAAAAAATTTCAAAAAAGATTATTTAGACATGCATTTAACTACTAAAGAATATTGGAAAGCAGTACTTGGATATACTAATCAACTATCAGATTAAACAGATCTTGTAATTGGATTTACAATTCAAGTAGGTATTGATAAGTTGGATGTTATAGCAAAGATGCAGTATGTCTATCTCTATGCAAAAAAGCATCTTGCAATTAATGCATTTTCTAATTTAGTTGAATTAGTAAATCTTCAAGAAAAAAATAAGACCGAATTAGTATTTGATCAACCTCTAATTACGCTTTTACCACCATCTTTTGGTCTAAAAAAAGATTTGATTATATCTGATAATCCAAGCAATCAAACAAATTATAGTACATATAAAAATCCAATGGCAAGTGCAGAATTTTTACATGCTATTGCAACAGTAATTGAAGAATCAGTTTTAAATGAGATTCATAAATCATCATCTTAGAGTTTATTAATTAACGAAAGTAATACTATTACACATGATAAAACATGTGCAATGGTTAGCAAACACATGGCGGAAAATATTCCTATACTTCATTATTTAGGATTAATTGAGTTATTGAATACAGATGCCAATGCTATTATGAAAAATTTAGAGAATTTTTTTGTCGCAAAAATGCTAAATACAGATGATTTAATACATTTTGGTAGAGATAGTGCTAGTATAATGTTAGGTATGTATTATTGTATTTCAAATGTAATTTTAATCATCAATAATATACGCTAATTTATTTAACTTTATTTATATATTATAGGTAAAAAAAATGGAGTATCAGCAAAACTTCAACAAGTAAATCCATTTATAACTAACTGTCATTGCATTGTGCATAGATTAAATTTAGCTGGAAAGGATGTAGCTAAAGATGTTTCATATTTTGAAAATTATGAAGTAACATTAAAAAAAATATATGCTTATTTTGGTTTATCACATCAATGGTGGCAACATTTAAAGATGTTTCAATCTTTAGATCAAGAAGATCCACAATTATCAGTTCTACATATTGTTAATACTCAATGGCTTTCACTTTTTAATGCTGTTTCAAATTTACACTAAATCATCTTTTTAATAATTGATGTACTCGATGATGATGCAATTAACAACACATGCAATAAAACACGATAACAGACTCAAAGATTACGTGAAGATATTGATTTAGAATTTATATTAGCAACAAAATTTTTTGCAGATATTTTGTTTACTTTTAGCAATTTAATAAAAATATTTCAATCGGATTATATTGCACTATCTGATGTGCATATACAATTAAATGCAGCAATTGATTCAATTACTACTGAATTTATTAGCAGTGGTAATGATCCTAATGATATAGATTATATTTCACCAACTTATGGAAATCATTTACGAGAATATATGTCGAATCTTATTGAACCTGATATATTACCAATAGCATTTAAAGAATTTACTATTACATTAGTAAATAATCTTTGTCTTAGATTTCTGGATACAGAATTTATAATGCTATGAAAATTTTTGATTTTTCTCAAATTCTAACAAAGTCAAATGAAATAGCAATATATGGTGAACATGAAATCAAAATATTAGGTAATTTTTATGGAAGTTCTAAATATCAGAATGAGCAAGTTTTTCTTGCAAAGGTTAATAAGACTGGACTTATTCAAGAATGACGTGAGGCAAAATTGCTTTTAAAAAATTATCAAGAGTTTAATTTTATAGATAGATGGAGACAGATTTTTACCAGTTCTCAATTTTTAACATTTTATCCAAATTTAAGCAAAGTAGTTAATTATTCATTAATTGTGCCACTTTCAAATGGTAATGTGGAAAGAGTTTTTTCTCAATAAAATCTTATTAAAACAAAAGTACACAATCAAATGAAACTTAAACTCTAAATTCTCATCTTATGATTGTTATAAATGGGCCTGAGCTTAAAGATTTTGATTTTGAAAGGACATTTGATGTTTGGCAAAGATTTCCAAGATGTATTTAATAAATAAATTTGTAAAATTTTTAGCTTGAATTTAATAAAATTTAGGAGTAATAAATATAAATGCAATTTTTTTTATTTTAGTTTTTTATTATGCCGCAAGTAATTTATAATCAACGTAACCTTGTGATTAAATTAGGATACGCAACATACAACTAAAATTAATAGTCTACATCTAAGCCACTTTTTTAGTTGCGGACCTGCAACTAAAAAAAAATTTGAATTTTTGACATTGGGTACTTGTGAGGTAGAACTTCCATTTTCTTTATATGGTGGTGGTGGAATTTGATATCTTCTTGCAATATTTTGTTCACAGAGCCGATCATAGTCAGTCACTATAGTAAAATAAAGTATTAGGGATTAGTATATCTTCTCATAAATATTTCTTCCTCTGATCAACTAATCTTTACCTGGTATTTTCCAGAACTGTTATTTGAATTTCTCATAATACTTGAGGCTGTTCTTAGTCCTTTTTTCATTAGCTTTACTATTGATGTATGCTTCTATATGCTAAATAGAAAAGATAAATTAGTCTGGCATCAGGCACTGTACATGGCTGAGGCTTCAGAGATTTTAGAAGGATTTCTACATACTTTATAATCCCGTTTAAGACTCTCGAACTTTTTCCTACAATGTGTACCAGAATAAGATATTTCAAACTAAAGGTTAATCTTTGTGAAAACTTTCTTCCAAAAAATTCTCTTTCTATTTTCAGCTAGTTCATGAAACATTTCGTTATTTTCTTTACAGTTATTGATCAAGACTTGAAGTTACTCATCAGTTCACATTATAAAAAGTTTTTATTTTTTTGGGATTCAGGTCTCTAGAGACTATGATATTATATATCTTTCTTAACTATATTATTGCAATTACATGGAGAGGGAAGTGGCAGAAGTATAAAAGATAAGTCATTACATATTGAATTACTATATATATTAGATGTGGCTTAGAATCATGCAGATAACTACTGTAGAATAATTTTAATCAAAGTCACGTAGAAGCGATTGTTAAGATAGTCTAAAAATTGCATTATAACTATTTTTAAGAAATATCATGCTAATACTATATTAAATAATATATTGTACTATTAGATCTAAAAAAAATACTATATCAATACCGTGTCATTACCGCAAAATTGCGTAATATTAATTCCGCCTTCTTATATTAAATATATTGCATTAACTCTGATCCATTGAATAAAAAATTCATGTGATTTTAGCAGGGATGTCCCAGCTAAAATTTTGCTAAATTAATACATGATCATGTTTTTTGTGATACAGATACAAGTTTTTTATTAATTGTTTTCCAATTTCGTAACTCTGGCCTTAAGCTTAACATTTTCAGTCATAATTTTATTGTTCTTAACCCTATCATTCTCAAGCTTCAAGCCTGATAATGTATATCCTACATGAAAAAAAATACAGATGAATATGTAAAAATAATCAGTCACTAGAATACTTTATTAATACAAAAATAATGATACATAATATAAATTACAAAAAAAAAGAAATTCTAATCATCTCGCATTGGAGTGAAAACTGTAATACTATCTTCTTTTTGTTTTTCTAATATGAAAATAGATACGTGATATAGTAGAAACAAATTTGTAATTAATATATTTTGTAAAAGTAAAAGAGTTTTCACAAATTTAGTTACAATGCTCACATCTGATAATTGCACAAGAATTTCAGCTGATTATAAATGAAAATATCTATGAACATTTACTTATCTCTAATAAGTATATTCAGATGCAATATATTTCTAGCTACTTACAGTCCCTGGCGAAAAGAATGGCAGTGCAATCTTTTATTATATAATTAACTTTTTTTTAAAGGATTTGTATAAACAATTACATAGTATTTTATATGTATTACTAGTCCAAATTCT